TTGAGGAATGTTCCATGGATTCCTAATTTTTCCAAAACCTTCATCATGAAGGGGTGTTGGATCTTGTCGAATGCTTTTTCTGCATCTATTGAGACTTTTTTAAATTTTTTTTTTTGGGTCTGGTCGTGGGGCCTGAACTATGGGCCTGGGCGCTGTCCCTCAGCTCTTCAGCTCAAGGCTAGCGTTCTACCACTTGAGCCACAGCCTCACTTCCGGCTTTTTTCTTTTTGCTTATGTGGTGCTGAGGAATCGAACCCAGAGCCTCATGCATGCAAGGCAAGCGCTCTACCACTGAGCCACCTTCCCAGCCCTGGAACTTTTTTTAAAAAAATTTTTGAGTCATGCCACTTCTAGCTTTTTTTGCTGGTTAATTGGATATCAGAGTCTCACAGATTTGTCTGCCTGGGCTGATTCCAAACTGCAATTTTCATTTTTCAGTGTTTTAATCACTTAAGTCTGTCTGACTTTCTGGTCTTGTCTGTGGTTTGCCTGGAGGTTGTATTCTTCCAGTTACTAACTAGAAGTATTAGTAAGAAGTTATGTGTGCATAGATATTTATTCTGCAAATAGTGTGCAATGTATTTTTTCCTCTATGACCAAGAGTTCTTATAGGCAATATCCTGATACTGGTTTCCTTGTGTAATCAATATAGATTGAACTTTTCTCTTTTGCTACTGTTTTACTTCAGGCTAAAATAAGCAAGTCTAGATTAGCTGTCAGCAAACTATATCATGTGAGCTAAAACTACTCCTGCTTGTGTTGTCAATAAAATAACACTGAACACAATCTTGTTAATAGATGACATTGTTTCTAGCTATTTTCAAGCTATAATGGCAGAGTTGAATAGTTGTGACAGATCAAGTGACTGCAAAGTTTCCTAAGTTGACAAGAAAATGTTTTATTTATTTATTTATTTTTTGTTGGTTGTTGGGTTTGAACTTGGGGCCTGGGTGCCATCCCTGAGTGCTTTTGCTTAAGGCTACCACTTTGAGCCACAGCACCACGTCCAATCTTTCTTACATTTGTGCTGGTGGTGGTGGTCCTTGAATTCAGATCCTGGGTGTTCTCCTGCAGCCTTTTTGTTCAAGACTGGCATTCTACCACTCAAGCCACAGCTCTGCTTTGGCTTTTTTGCTGGGTAATTGGAGTTTCATGGAATTTCCTGTTCTGGTTGGCTTTGAATGGTGATCCTCAGATTTCAGTTTTCTGAATAGCTAGGATTATATGTGTGAGCTACTTGGCACCTAACCAAAAATGTCTTTTTAGTGTATATAACTTGTATTTGTTGTATGAAAGTATATATAAACTTTAGGAACAGTTTTTGTTATATGCCTTTACCTTTGTTTGATAATTGAGGTGGAGTTTTCTGATGTTGAGGTTTGTTATATTGTGGAGCCTTGTATTTATGTGGCTTTACTTTCACTATTAGAAATAAAATGTCTTATTATGTTTAATTTCCATGGAGATATTAGTAAATTTTTTTTTCTTTTTAATTAGTAACTGAAATTAGGAGCTCATGGAGAAAAGCTATTGAAGTTGAAGATAACAGAAGTGCACAACCAATTCAGATGGATAATGAACATACAGAAGTATTGTCAGACTCTTCACCTGCATTGTGTAATCAAAGGGAATTTAGCATGGACATTTTTTTCTCAGATTTTGACCAATCTCATTTTCCTGAAGAGGAAGTTGTTTCAGATTGCCTCAGGAGCATGCCTCAAAAACATGTGACCAGTCATATAGGTGAACCCTCAACAGAAGATCAGTCAGATTTGCTAAATAAGAAAATAATTTATAAGCAAGATTTAGAGAATACAGCTTTACTAACCAAGGTCTTAGAAACTAGCCAAACACAGACATTCTCCTCTGGTATAGGCAGTAGAGAAACTAGCCAAACAGAGACACTCTCCCCTGTTGTAGGCAGTAAAACAGATAGGAGGGATAGGAGTAAAGGGGGACATATTAAAATATTAGATCACTCACAAGCTTCTTATATTGAACCTTCTGTGCATAAAATTATGCCATGGAACTCTTTTCAGATATCAAGTCGAGTTAATTCTAAAAGTCTTCAGGATACGGACTATAGCATTTTAAATGAGACTCTTCCAGAAGTTGGTCGCCTAAGTCTTAACAGCTCTAGGAGTTCTGAGATCAATTTTAAGTTGGAACCAGATAGTCCTGTGTACAGTGGCATTTTACCAGATACTGTGGGAAAAAGACAGACTACTCCCAGTGGCATTTTACCAGATACTGTGGGAAAAAGACAGACTACTCCAGAATCAGATTTCAATTTACAGACTATTCGAAGTAAATTTGAGGTTCTGAAGAAATCTCTTTCCAAAATAAGAGAAGACTCTCACCTCTCTAATCCCGAAACACTTGAAAGACACAAACTAGAATTGTTCCCTGTATCAAAAGACATACAAGCAGATAATATGCTAAACTCTTTGGATACTCATCATTTGCTAACTGACTGTACAAAGCCATCTTTATCTATGTCTTTTGGTGAAAGAAAGCAGTCTCTATCACCAGAAGCTTTTTCTGGTGGAGCAAAAGTTGAGGAACACAGTACCATTTAGTCTTGGATAACTTCTAATTTAAAGGTAAGATTTAACTAGCCCTGTACATATTCACTTGTTGAAATTTTTTCTAACCTCTCTGTGCTGGAGGTTAGGACTCTACCACTTGAGCCACAGTGCCACTTCCAGTGTTTGAGTGGTTAATTGGAGATAAGAGTCTCATGGGGACTTTTCTGCCTGGGCTAGCTTCGAACCACCATCTTCAGATCTCAGCCTCCTGAATAGCTAGGATTACAGGTGTAAGCCACCAGTGCTTGGCTATCTAAAGAAAAAAAAAATTTTTTTAAGTCAGGGTTTCACTCTATAATTCAGACTCTATAATATAAACTTGGTTGTTCTCAACTCTCAGTCATCTTGCCTCAACCTTTAGCTTGCTGAATTCTCACAATGTAACACAGATAGGAAGGTCACAATTTGAGGCCAGCTCAGGTAGTTAGTATGAGATCCTATCTGAAAAACAAATTAATAAAGCCAAAGGATTAAATCTGGTGATATGGCTCTAGTAGTAGAGCACCTGCTTGGCAATGAGGCCCTGGTTCAAACAGCAGGACTACCAAAAACAAAAAATCTGTTGGCATGATCTTGTTGCTGGTTTTTGTTTTCTTTTGGGTAGTACTAGGAATTGAATTTGGGTACTTTACTGCCTGAACTGCTTCCAGTCCATGATATGGGTTGTTATTGTGACAAAACATATTGCTTTTTCCTTCAAAGGTGAGATGCTTGAACCCTCATTTTATGGTTACTGTCAGAATATGTGTGTGTAGTTTACAATTGCTTTGAGCCAGAAGCAGAAACAAAAAACAATCCCAAACCCCCAAACTTAACTGCTTTTGTAGTGTAAACTACTGAAAGTAAATCATATCAGAATCTTTTTGTCTAATGGAAAGTGATTTAAAAAAATTGAGAAACAGGGCTGGGAAGTTGGCTCAGTGGTAGAGCGCTTGCCTTGCATGCCTGAGGCCCTGGGTTAGATTCCTCAGTACCACATAAGCAAAAAGAAAAAAGCCGGAAGTGGTGCTGTGGCTCAAGTGGTAGAGCGCTAGTCTTGAGGTGAAGAGCTGAGGGACAGCGCCCAGGCCCAGAGTTCAGGCCCCACGACTGGACCCCCCCCCCAAAAAAAAATAGAGAAACATAGCTGGGTGCCAGTGGCTCACGCTTGGAATCCTAGCTACTCAGGAGTCTGAGATCTGAGGATCATGGTTCAAAGCCAGCCCGGGCAGGAAAGTCTGAAAATCTTCAATAAACCACTAGAAAACTGGAAGTGGCGCTGTGGCTCAAGTGGTAGAGCACTCGCCTTGAGCTGAAGAGTGCAGGGACAGCCCAAGTCCAGAGTTCAAGCCCCACGACCAACCCCCCCCCCCAAAAAAAATTGAGAAACACAGGGTTGGGCTAGCTACTGGGAGGAGAGATTGGGAAGATCATGTTGATTAAGGCCAGTCTGGGCAAAAATGAGGCCAGTCAGTTCTCAACAAAATAAGCCAGGTGTAGTTGGGACCATGTTTTTTATTTTCAGGGCTGAGGACTGAACCCAGGGCCTTGAGTGCCAGGTGGGCGCCCTTCCGCTGGGCACCCCCAGCCCTGGGACCATGTTTTTAATCCTCTTACCTGGGAGGCATAGATCAGAGTATCACAGTGTGGCTGGGGCCACTACCAAAATGCATGAGATTCCATCAAAAAAGTAAAAAAGAAAATTGATAAACACTGCTTCCGTTTTGTGTGTGCGTGCGCGCGCGCGCTTGTCTTAAACTCAGAGTTTAGGCTCTCTGTCCCTGAGCTGCTTTTTTTTCTTTTTTCTTTCTTTTTTTTTTTTTTTTACAGGTGTGAGCCACCTGTACCCCCTCCCCCCACTACTTTAGCATTTTTGTGGTAGTATATCTGGGATTTGCTTTGAGGTCTATTTGGTGATGGAAGTGGGGAGTAGAAACAATGTAAGGTGGGTCAGTGTATTCGTTTCTTAGGTTGTCATAACAAAATAGAACCAACGTATTGAAATTTATTGTCTGTGGGTGCTGGTTGCTCACACCTTTTTAAATTCAGGAGGCTGAGGATTGTGGTTCAAACCAGCCTGAGTAGGAAAGTCTGTGAGACTTTTTTTGCCAGTCATGCGGCCTGAACTCTGGGCCTGGGCACTGTCCCTCAGCTCTTCAGCTCAAGGCTAGCGCTCTACCACTTGAGCCACAGCACCACTCTCAGCTTTTTTTGCTTATGGGGTACTGAGGTATTGAACCCAGGCTCTCATGCATGCAAGCCAAGCACTTTACCACTGAGCCACCTTCCCAGCCCCATCTGTGAGACTCTTTTTTTCCAATTAATAACCAAAAAGTTAGAAACATGTCTGTGGCTCAAGTGGGAGAACACCAGCCTTGAATGAAAAAGCTAAGGGGCAGCGCCTAGGGGTGGAGTTTAAGCCCTAGTATTGGCACCAGAGAAAAAAGTTCTAAAGACTAGAAATGCAAAATTGAGGTGTTGGCTGGTTCACATCCACTCTGAAACCACTAGTGGATCCTTCTTTGCTCCTTCCAGCCTCTGGGAGACCCTAATTTTAGTCTTTGTGTTTATCTTCACATGGATTTTTTCCCCTGTCTATTGGTCCTAGGGCTTGAACTCAGGGCCTGGGTACTGTCACTGAGCTCTTTTTTGCTCAAGTATAGTCCTCTACCATTTGAGCCTTAGTGATACTTCTGGTTTCTGGTAGTTAATTAGAGCTAAGAGTCTTGTGGACTTTCCTGCCTGGGCTGGCATTGAACCATGATTCTCAGATCTCAGCTTCTTCAGTAGCTAGGATTAAAAGTTTGAGTCACTGACACCCGGCTTTGTCTCTTCTTATAAGGATACTTGTTAATACTAGTTAATTAAGGGCCTACCCTACCTCAGTGATAAACTAACTGTAGCTGATTATTTCTCTATGGCTATCTAAATAATGTTATATTCTGAGGTACTAGGGTTAGAATTCAAAACATACCTTTAAGGAAGACAGTTCAGCCTATGATGGTATTATCAAAACAAGTGGCATATACAATGAATTGGAATTTTTTTCACTTTTATGTTTGAACATCCTTATGAGTTTAAATCATATTAGGACAGATTTGGATTTGTTAATTCAGACTCATTCCATATCATTTTGATTTGCCCATGATAATTAGATGCTGGTATTTTAAAAAGTTGTCTGAATAAGAGGTACTTGTGAGAAAACTTTTTAAAAAAATAGTTTTAGAGTAATTGCAATGTAAACCTTTTTTAAATTAAGGAATCTGCTACTATGAATCTTTGCTAGTTTTCTTTGTAATGTTTATTCCTTCCTTTTTGCAGAAAATACTTTGAATAAGAGCCTTGATGCAAAAGAATTTGACTTGAAGCAGTAACCAGTTAATTTTATGATGTACTTCCATTGATACACTTCCATGTCACAGATTTATAACTTAAGTATGTCCTAGATGTTTCACACACCATATTCAAGGTCTAAAAATCCTAACTACCTCTTGTTTGGATTTTTCTGTGGAGAGAGATGATGTAGTTGAATTGTCAGGTATTTGCAAAGGAACGTCAAGTTATGGGAAGCCATTTTGATTTTTTAGATAATCTGTAAGCCTTAAATTAGTGACAAAAGTGGTAGCTTATTAGGATCCAGTTAGTGAACATAAGGATAAGAGTTTTTGATGTATTTTCACTAAGTGGTTAACCTTAGTCTTAAAGAAATAAACCACTTCTGGATCTGTATGGGACATTCTAGTATTAACCAAATAAGGTGAGATTAGTAGTACCTTGGGAAGGTCTACACAGGCTTAACAATTATTCAAGTCCATTGATCCTGAGAAATGTTTGATGGAATAAAATGTGAGTGATAAGTGATGACTAGGGCAGAATGAATTTAGAAAAGAAAAAGATAGAAGGCAGTGGTGACTAGACACCTAACAGACCCTGTTAAACTAAATACTTTAGTGTGTTGGTATAGGGATTTATATTTAGTCTAATTTAGACTAATTAATTAATCCATAACATTTATAGTCTATAATTATGATGGCATTATTTTAGCTGAAGGAAAGGTAGTAAATACAATAATAAATGCAAACCCTATTTTTTTCTTTAGTGAATGTACTAAAATGATAGAAAATACATTTAAGGGCATTTGACTCAATGTAAAGAAAGTGCTGGGAGCTGGGAAGGTGGCTCAGTGGTGGAGTGTTTGCCTTACATGCACAAGGCCCTGGGTTCGATTCCTCAGCACCATACAAACAGAAAAAGCCAGAAATGGGCGCTGTGCTCAAGTTGTAAAGCGCTAGCCTTGAGCTGAAGAGCTAAGGGACAGTGCCCAGGCCCAGAGTTCAGGCCCCACAACCAAAGGGGAAAAAAAAAAAAAAACGCTAAAATTCTCATTTCATAAAGTTAACAGTAATTGCTCTCTTTCCTTATGCTCTGTAAACTGGCAAGTCAACACCCTAAATTTTAAATATTTGAATCCTATATGAGACTATTTGTAAATATGTTCTATATACTATTATTTAGAATAAACATTATCATATACCAACCGTGTTTGGAATTTCCTGTGCTTTGCTAACCATAAAATGATCACATTCCAAGGTATGACTTGAATGACAAAGTAAAATTGAGAAGTTTAGAGGTAAGAACATTTTGTTGTTGCCATTTTACATTTTTGGGGCTGTTATGGGCACTTGAACTTAGCCTCAAATTCTTGGTTGGCTTTTTGGAGACTAATTGGAAATAAGTTTCTTGGGTTTATTTGTTCTGGTCAGCTTCCAACTGTGATCTTCATATCTTAGCTTCTAGAGTAGCTAGGATTATATAGTGCCAAGAGTCCCAGTTGTTACTGCTGCCATTTTTTTTTTTGGGTCCGGTCGTGGGGCCTGAACTCTGGGCCTGGACGCTGTCCCTCAGCTCTTCAGCTCAAGGCTAGCACTCTACCACTTGAGCCACAGCGCCACTTCTGGCTTTTTTCTTTTTCTGCTTATGTGGTGCTGAGGAATCGAACCCAGGGCCTCAGGCATGCAAGGCAAGCGCTCTACCACTGAGCCACCTTCCCAGCCCTACTGCTGCCATTTTAATGATTAGATTTACTACTACATCATGCTCAGCTTATTGATTTAAGATTGGGGTCTTGCTAGATTTTTCACTTCTGTTGGCCTTAAACCACAATCTTCTCAGTTTCCACCTCCTCAGTAGCTGGGATTACAGCTGTGAGCCACCATGCCTAGTTAAAAAAATTTTTTGGCAGTATTGGAATTTGAATTTAAGGCCTTATACTTGCTAAGCAGGTATTTATTCTACTGAGCCCTTTTGTGTTGGTTATTTATGAGAGGATCTTGCTTCCTGCCTAAGCATGTTCCCTGCATATGCCTTTAAGATCCATTAACCACCAAGAAATTAAAAGTGGAGCTGTGGCTCAATATGGTAGAGCACTATCCTTGAGTTAGAGCTCAGGGTCAGTGCCCATGCCCTGAGTTCAAGTCCCATGACCAAAATTAAATATCTAGAAACTACAAGCTTATACCCCATCCTTTTTTTTTTTTTTTGGTTAGTTGTGGGGCTTGAACTTTGGGCCTAAGTGCTGCCTCTGAGCTCTTCAGTTCAAGACCAATGTTCTACCACTTGAGCCACAGTGCCAATACTGGTTTTTCTTTTTCCTTTTTTTTTTTTTGTCAGTTGTGGGGCTTGAACTCTGGGCCTGAGCTCTCTCCCTCAGCTCTTCAGCTCAGGCTAGCGCTCTACCACTTGAGCTATAGCACCACTTCCGGTTTTCTGGTGGTTTATTGGAGATGAGAGTTTCATAGACTTTCCTGCCCGAGATGGCTTTGAACGATCTCAATTCTCAGCCTCCTGAGTAGCTAGGATTACAGGTGTGAGCCACCAGTGCCCAGCACTTCTGGTTTTCTGAGTGGCTTATTGGATATGAGTTCTTGCTGGGGCTGGCTTTGAACTGTGTTCCTCATATCTCGGCCTCCTGAGTAGCAAAGATTACAGGCATGAGCCACCATCACCCAGCTTCCCTTATTTTTGAGAAAGGGTCTACTGAACTTTTATGCCTGGGGTAGCCTCAACTACCAGTCTTAAGCCCCCCATATACATACCCGTGGCACTAAGCTGTAAAATGACTTTTCAAAGTTTATACCACTTATTTATTGACAGTGGGCCTAATAACACAGTTTGTTGTTTTTGGAGACAAGGTCTTGCTATGTAGCCCAGGATGTCCTTGAACTCTCATTTCCTCCTCTTCATTTTCAATATTGGAATTATAGGCAGGTACCATCCAGCCTGTCTGGCTTATGTCTTAAAATCTTAATAGCTTCCTGCTCTTTGTGAGTAGTGACATCACACCTGCTGCTAGAGAGTTTCATAGAGTTAATCTTATAAAGCCTTGGAAAATTCAAAGCCCTATTATTTATATGTACTGTCTATACTAATGCCTCATCTGTAAAACGAGATCTACAGGATCACTGTTCAAAGCCAGCCTGGGCATTAAAGTCAGTGAGATTCTTTATCTCCAATAAATCACCAGAAAATTGGAAGTGGTGCTATGGCTCAAGTGGTAGAGCACTAGCCTTGAGCTGAAGAACAGAGGGAAGTGCTCAGGTCCAGAGTTCAAGCCCCATGACTGACCAAAACAAAAATCCACCAGAAAGCTATCAGACAGAACTGGATATCAGCATATCTCATTGGCAAGGCAAATTAGGAATTTCAGCCAGAATCATTCCTCAGAGGTAATCTAAGATCCAATTTACAGTAAATACAAGTGGGGAAATGATACTGCCCTATGTAAGTGAAACATTGAGCCATCTGTATTTCTTGGGCTTTGGTTTCCTCAGTAATAAATTTTGGAATTAAATGAAGGAATAATTGATCTACAAAGCTAGGATGTGTGTGTGTGTGTGTGTGTGTGTATGTGTGTATGCTGGCCCTAGAGCTTCTTGCACTCGACCTGGGCACTGTCCTTGAGCTTTTTTATTCAAGGTTAGTGCTCAACCACTTGAGTCATAGCTCTACTTTTGGCTTTTTTGGTAGTTAATTGGAGATAAAAGAGTCTCAGATTTTCTTGCCTGGGCTGGCTTTTAACAGTGATTCTAAATCTCAGCCTCCTTAGTAGTTGGATTATAGGCGTGAACCACTGTGCCTAGCAAAAGCTAGGATTTTTATGATTAACTTTTAATTAGTGGAGGAGATAGTGAATAGTTAGTAATGGTTAGGAGAG